TTTTATCCACGACTATTGTATAATGTACCCATTATACGTCTGTTTGCTCGACCTTAATAATACCCATTAATCACGGCAGTGATTAATGAGTCATTAATCACTACTGTCAGATGCTTCCTTAATTTAGCTATAATATTATATTGTTCTGCTACAAACAATCCGTTTTTAAAATTTTATCGTGTAAACCACTAAATATTTTCAATTCAGTGCTGTACATATAAAAAAAAAATTAAAAAAGTGAATTTTCCTAGACCAGATTCGAACCCGGGACCCGCGGTTGGAAGGGAAGGAGCATCTACACTGAGCCATCAGCGACTTCGTTTGTGCGTGTCGTATATCTGTTGCTTAACATACCATGTTTTTCGAAACATTTCATAAATCTAAGTAGCTTTTAAAACAAAACAAATTTGACTCAAACCTGTCAACATTATTGTTTGTGTGCATAGATTTCTCAGTGTTTTGATATTTTGTGTTAAATTGTGTTAAAAAACGAACTAAAAACAAAAAAAACTTCAACAAAAATATTTAGTAGTCGTGGATAAAGTATAGTATTCTACTCCCGTATAATGGGTATTATTCACTCGGTGATTTAGGCCACTCGCCTGCGGCTCGTGGCCGTAAACTTCACCTCGTGAATAATACCCATCATTATACGCTCGTTGAATAATATACTATTATTGTACTTAAATTCTCAAGTTTTTACTAAATTATTTTATTAAAAAAGTAAAAATAATCAAAAAATCTTATTTTTTGCTTTCTTTAAAATTGTTTATTAACAATTTTTTGCATAAAATTTTCCTTTTATACTTTTTAAATAAGTCATTCTCTAGAAAATTTTTCCCATGAACTATACTGAAATTTTGCTTTGTTTTCGTGCTATATTTAAAAAACTGCAAAAGTGCATTTTCAACCCTATCTTCAATTTCAATCCTCTAATTTAATAGCACCCCGTGGTTTAATGACCCCTCGAACAAATCATGTGATGAAAATCCTTGAACGACTTATTTCCTTCCTTTTTGCGAAAAATGAAAATTAAAACGTATAAGGGTAAAAGCGAAGAAAATCGAAAAATTTACTAAGTTTGAGTGGCCATATATCAGTCAATATTTATCCAAAAATACTATACAACCTCTTATTTTGAAGGAAATTTGATATACTTTTTTTTCTATGTAGCAATGCCTATACCTATCTCTGCTCAGAAAAAAGTTATTTGCATAAAAGTAAAAAAAAAAACAAAAAATTAAATTTTTTGCATTTTTTTGTTAAATTGTTTTTAATATATTTTGCAGTAAATAAATTTTTTAAATAAGCTATTTCGATAGAAAATCTCACTACAAAATTTTTCCTATGCAATACCCTCAAATTTTGCTTCATTTTCGAGATATACTCAAAAAACCGTAAGGGTTACATTTTCACCCCTATCTCCAATTTCCACCCTCTAATTTAATAGCACTCCGCGGTTTTTTCTTTCTGAATAACCATTTGAACGATTCATGCAATAAAAACCCATCAACGTTGTAATTCTATATCATATGACATAATCAGTAGCCTATTATACCTGTAAAATTTGCTTATTTACGTCATGTGCCTCATTGAAAATCATATTTTCAGAGTATTGGCGAAATAATGCAATCCAGAGGAGCTGAATTTGGGGTTACAACGAAAAGGAAGCGTCGTTGTGGTTGGCTAGACATCGTTTTACTGCAGTACACTAATATGATCAATGGCTACACGGCCATATGTTTGACAAAATTAGATATCTTAGACACTTTAGTTGAACTTAAACTGGCCACCGGATATAAGTTAAATGGAAAGAAAATGGATTATTTCCCCTCCACTGCATCGGATTTGGCGGCGGTCGAGGTAATGTGTTTTTAATTTTTTATAAGTTGTTGGCAGTTAACATTTAAAGTTTATTACACAGTAATATGTGCGCGTATGTTATGTGCTTGTCCTTTTTTAAGGTTGAATATTTAACGATGCCTGGTTGGCAGACGAGTACGGAGGATGTAAGGCAGTTTAAGGATTTACCTGACAATGCCAAACGTTACGTTAATAAAATAGAAGACTTGCTGAACGTACCAGGTAATTACTTTTTAGCGGCAAATTGTTAATTAATTACACTTGAAGAAAAAAAAAAATTGTTACCTGAACTTTTATATGTGGAAATGGTAAAGGGGCTTATAATAAACGAAAAAAAAAACTAAATACGTGAGCAGGGGCTGCGGAGGGTTGAAAAGTTGTGAAAATTTGTATCATTGGGATTTCTGGCGAAAGTTGACGTCAAACAAAAAGTATCTAATACAAAAGTTGTAGATCATGCAAAAATCTACAACTTTTGTAGAGGTCACTTTTTAACATAACCTCAAAATTTCTGAGAAAAATGCGAAAAACAGTTTTTTTTCGGATTTTTCGTTTTTTATTTCTCATTTCCGCAAAAATAATTTAATTTTAACGAAACTTAGTGAAACCTTTCCGTCTTAAATAACCACAAATTTTTTTAGATAAAAAAATCTAGAAGTTTCAGATATTCATTTTTTCGGCCTGAAACACTTTTTTTCAAAGAAAAAAATCTACTTAGAAAAATCATCGTAAGAGTTCTGCCGGTAATCATTTTTTTCATTTTGACATATACTTTTTGGTAAAATAAAAAAATTTGCAATTTCACTTCAAAAATATGCTCAAAAATCCAAAAAAATAAATAAAAAATTACTTGTCAATGAATTTTTCCGTAATTGTTGATAATTTGTTTAAATTAAAAAACTTTCAAAAACTGATTACACCATTCAATTCTTCGGAAAAAAATTTAAAAAAAACTGTAATCGTTTGACCCAAAACTTTATTTTTGTAAAGTATTGCTATAAACATCTAAGTCGAATTACAAATGCACAAATAATGATAAATTATCTCTGGATGATTTGAGATTTCAGCAGTACCAAGTATTAACTGCAAAGTCTACTGTTGACGTGAAATCCGAAACCCGAAATTTTGCAAAATTGTTTTATTTTTTTTCGGGCTTTATTTGAAATCGAATTTTAAAATAAATTGCATATTTACAATGCCATTTTTTTCGCTCTATCCAATGGCATCAACATATTTGCAATTCGACGTTTCGTCTTCCAGGGGCCATCATCAGATTAATTTTATTAAATATGTCGCTGCTATGTTTATGACAAAACCTAAGTCACTTTTAATTCTGAATTAGATGATATTACTATTGTAATCGTTTAAAAAGGTTTTTAGCTATCATTAAATATTTTTCCTGAGTACGGCTCTGAACGCTTTTAAAATATATATTGGAGTGTCAATATAGCACAAAATATCCAAAAAAATTTTCCTCTAACATCCTCTAATTCAGAATTAAAAATGACTAGATTTTGTCATAAAAATAACAGTGACGTATTTAAAAAAATTAACCCGATGATGGCCCCTCGAAGGCGAAACGTCGGATTGCAAAAATGTTGACGCCATTGTATAGAGCGAAAAAAGTGGCATTGTAGATATGTAATTTATTTTAAAATCCGTTTTCAAATAAAGCTAGAAAAAATTAAACAATTTTGCAAAATTTCGTGTTTTTCCGAATATCTTCGAAAGTACCTGGAATTTTAAAACTTTCTAAGTTGGGTATAAAAAAACACAACTTTTTTTAATCTGAGCCACCCCGTATCTCTTACCGTTTCCTAGATTCTAATGCTATCTCATCCTTAACTTGGACACTGTATATCTATGAATTCATCAAACTTTAAAAAAAAATAAGTACACTAATCGATCCTAAGGAAAAAATTATTAATTATTTTATTTATTCACTATTCGACTTATGTTTATAGCAATACTGTACAAAAATAGTTTCGGGTCAAACAATGAGAGTTTTTTTTTAATTTTTTCCGTATAATTGAATGGTGTAATCAGTTTTTGATTTTTTTTTAAATTTAAACAAATTATCAACAATTACTGAAAAATTCATTGTTGCAAGTCATTTTTTACTTTTTTATTTTGCATTTTTGAGCATGTTTTTGAACTGTGATTGCAGGTTTTTTTATTTCACCAAAAAGTATATGTCAAAATGGATAAAAATGATAACCAGCAGAACTCTGTACGATGATTTTTCGAAGTAGATTTTTTCTTTGAAAAAAGTGTTTCAGGCCGAAAAAATGAATATCTCAGAAAGTTCTTGATTTTTTTATCTAAAATAATTTGTGGTTATTTAAGACACAGAAAGGTATATTTTCACAAAGTTTCGTCAGAATTAAATTATTTTTGCGGAAATGAGAAATAAAAAACGAAAAATCAGGAAAAACCTGTTTTTCGCATTTTTCTCGGAAATTTTGAGGTTAGGTTAAAAAGTGACCTCTACAAAAGTTGTAGATTTTTGCATGATCTACTACTTTTGTATTGGATACTTTTTTGTTTAACGTCAACTTTCGCCAGAAATCCCAATGATACAACTTTTCATAATGTTTCAACCCCCGAAAACAACCCTCCGCCGCCCCTGCTCACGCAATTTTTTATTATTTTTTTGTTTATTATAAGCCCCTTGAGTTATTTCGATCGGTCTAATAGTTCACATACAAAGTGAAAAATCTTATCACAATATTCAATTCCGGTTTTTTTTTAATTATTTCCTGTGACAGAAAGGATTTATTAATTTTTTTTCCTCTTCAGATTTAGCAAAAAACCTTGTTTCCATTCTAAAATATCAAAATTTGTATTTCTAAATATTTGGGTTATACAGGGTGTTAATTATAAGTTTTACCAAACTTTAATGGCGTATTCTACCGATGAAAAGTTTTGCCCTATAAAAATTTTTGATAGGACGCTTCCCTACGGAGATGCAGAGTGTTAAAAGTTTCAAATATTTATATGATTTTTCCGGTAACTTCACTTTCATGAAAGATTTACTGATAACATTTGTAGTGGAGTCAAGATAGCTTAAAATTACGCGCGTTATTTCGAAATAATTATGAGAAGCATGCATGGATTTTCCTAAAACCTTTTGAAATTACTTGGAGATAAGTATTAGAAAAGAGTTATAAACTTATTTTTGTACGCTAATTGTTTTTTAATTGTTTAAACAATAATAAATAGTTTTTTTAAGAATATTTAAAATAATTCGATGAGTTTTAAATCAATTCTTTTAAATCGACAATATAGGGTTTTTCGATGTCGCTGAACAAGAATATGAAGTTGGAAAATGAAAATTCAAAATGGCTGATCCAATATGGCGGACTATTTTAAACAATTTATTTAACAATTATCGACTTATATTTGTAACATAGGGGTTTTTGAGGTTGCTAAAAAAGAATATGATGTGAGAAAATGAAAATTCAAAATGGCTAATCCAATATGGCCGACTATTTTAAACAATTTATTTAACAATTATCCACTTATATTTGTAATATAGGGGTTTTTGAGGTCGCTAAAAAAGAATATGATGTGAGAAAATGAAAATTCAAAATGGCTGATCCAATATGGCCGACTAGTTTAAACAATTTATTTAACAATAATTTATTTTAGTATGGTAATAAGGGTTTTTGTTTTTGTAAAATGTGAGAACTTTTTTGTGGAAGAATTTTATTTATAGCGGTCCCATGAAATAATTAAAAAATAAATAGCTATTTATGATATACGTGTTAAAAATAAGATTTTATTTTGTGAGTGAAGATGATTAAATTAACTTCACGAACAAAATAAAATCACTTTTAACACGTATATCATACACTATTTTTTCTACAAAACTGTTAAAAGTGGGCTTTTTAATTGTCATTTTTGATATTTTTGATGTTAAAAATGTCATTTTTTGACACGCGTGTTAAAAGTAAGTTACTTTTAACACTAGCGTTTACATCCCGGTCAGTATATTTATACATGTTATACCTAATATTCAATTATTCTTATTCCAATGTCTCCATATACTCCAACAAAAAATGTTGGTATTAAGTTATTCCAGTTTAGTAATGATTGTGTTTTTTTTGAAAAATTTTAATTAGGGGTACTTATATTTTTTAGTGAAATGGATTGGTGTCGGCAAAGGAAGAGAATCGATAATAACAATCGAAACAGCAGAACACTGTTAGAAAAGACGTATCTTGATTTAGGCAATTACATAGTTTAATAATAATGGCCGCTGCCGCCGCCGCCTAATAAATAACAACCTAGTTTTATCTTAAGGAAGTAAAAGATGTTAATATTGCAGTTGTAAACGATTTAGTACAAATAAACAAGATTGTGTTGTTTCTATCTTTTCATTTATCGACCTGAAATCACTTCGTTAGTAAAAGATGTGCGAGTCGGTAGAAATTGTCAACGATATGAATTTACGTGTTAAAAATTGAGTGAAATTAAATAGATATGAAGAACTTGTATCGCCCCGTGGAGAAAATAACAATGACCCAAGTCGCTTCTCTCTATCTGTTACCGTTTTTGAGTTACAGGGCGTTTTTTAATTTTTGGCCAAACCCGCTGGTGCCCTTTACTTGTTTTTCCTTTTGCTTTAAATACCTACTCACATTTGGCACACTCACTAAGCAGATCAAGATCAACTTTCATTATACGCCACTAGAGGGCACTTTATCTAGAACTCAAAATTCGTTTTGTTCATAACGCTTGCCCATGCTAAACCTCACAGAAAATTAAACATTGAAAAGAGAAACAATATCAGGAAACGTTATGTATGCCGATAAGTGCAATCATTTAGCAGGAAATCTCTATTAAAGTTTTATTAAACATCAAGTTTTTGATAATTTTTTCTGTAATCAAGTCGTCATGCTTCAAATAAATGTCAGGAATACAGTGAATATATGGTTGCATAGTTTGTGACAGAAATCAGATTCGAGATCTAACCGGTAATAACCATATGCAACCAAACATACATTTGGCCCGAATATTGCGAACGATGATAGTACTCTCTTGATTCAGTGATTATTGTTGTCAACAGAAAACGGATTAAAATCCTCTTATTTATTTACTCATATGTATAAATATATACAGTCCTATACTTGTTCTTATCTATGCAGTCTAGTATATAAATTTGTCAATAAATAGTACGAGTATGAGTATAAAAAAATTTCGTAACAATATGTAGGTTCATACCGATTTAAATAACTTTGGATTATTTAAATACATACTTTAGTACCTCTCTAGTTGTTGAATTGAAAAAGTGTGGCTTCTCTGGTCCGAATCCATATATAAGTACAATGAAGGGCAACTTAAAGTCCCCACTAGCTGGGTCGCTCTCATTCTATCGCGCCCCACCACAAATAATTACGGAATGTTTCGGACTGGGAGTGCGGTATGGAGATATACTACACCGTGGCACCAAAAACTCTGATATATTCGATAGGGTAAATAATTAATCTGATACCAGTTGCATTTGATATTTTTTAAAATATTATTTTATTAATGATATGTAATGTATTGTAACATTTCTTGGTTAGTTAAATAATTATATTGAAGATTTTTTTAAAAATAAAATGTTATAAACCGTTTACTATTTTAACCATTGTTCACTACATCCACATACCTGCATATTTAGTGTTTTCCTGTATTAGAGATATTCATTTATAAATGTTGTCTTAAATCAATACATACAGGGTGGACTAATAGTGATTATATTACTCCCATGTCATATAGATAGAAAATACATATTTTATTAGGGCATCGAGCGGTGCCTTAAAGAGGACATTTTAAAAATATTATGAAGTATACGGAGCGTTTTGGAAAGATGTATCAAACATGATTTATAAATAGGATGACCCGTTTTTTATATTTCATATATACAAAATATTTCAGACAAAATAACTAATGTTTTCAAAAATGAATAAAATATATAAATTGCAAATGAAAATGTAAAATTAATAAATAATATTATACACTATAAACGTAAAAGATAAAGATAATTTTCTTAATTTTTTTTCTTGTAATAATAATTAATTGTTGATTACTGTATGTAGACCAAATATCTCAACATCTTAATTCAATTATCATATATCTCTATCACATACTATACTAATCAATCAGTATGATTTATGAATGAATTACGTATGGCAATTTTTAAATACTTACCTCCACCCTAGGAAAAGTCGCTAAGAATATGGCGAATCCTTCGAGCAGATACTACTGGAGGCATGCCATTGCGAAAATTGTGGCTGAGTGTGCGAGAGAGACAAAAAGTACCTCAGTACAAGCGGTCTCACTCTAGCACGCCGCGATTGGTTGGAAATGAATGCTCCAACCAATCGCGGCGTGCTAGAGTGAGACAGCGTGTCTGAGATACTGTCTGTCTCTCAGCCACACTTTTCGCAATGGCATGCTACTTCCAGTAGTATAGTAACCTGTTCATTGTCGTGATTTTAATTTAATACTTTTAATTATTATACATTAATGTCTGATTCATTATTGTAATAAAGAGATTGTTAAATATGTAGTAGTGTTACACGTAAACTAACTTTTTGTTATTAAGAGAAGTTACATTTTTTGGTTAAATACAGGTTTAGTTATTTGAATTCCAGCAGAAATAATTTAGATTATATATCGGTCTGAATTTTATAAATTTTGTTCAAAAACTTACGAAAGCGTATTTATTTTCTAAACATATTTTAAAATGTAAGTCTACTATAATTTTTATTTTAATATTATTAACTATTTATTGCGTATAGTATTGCTTATAAATAAATAATCACTAATAAAATACTCAAGAACAAGATAACTAAACTAAACAACTACTCGACATCATAAAATAAGGTTTTTAATTTATAAAGTTGGGTAAATTGTTTATTGTTGCTGATATTAACAAAAATAGACATGCATTGCACCGATCAGGAAAAGGCTAGAATAATTGATGCTCTTTGGCAGCAGGGAGATTCAGTTCGTAACATGAAATCACCTACGTCTCTTTGTTCCCACGACACGGCTTTTCTTATAACGTTAATTGTTAATTTACTGTTGGACGTATACGGACCGGGATTTTAGAGACCATAATTAAACAAATGGTTAAACTTTTATTTTCAGAAATTTTACATTGATAGTTCATGTAAGTAATAAACGCGCTAGCAGAGTAAAATATAACATTAATGAACAGTCTGCACGTGGCAGCGCTAGGCCCACGCATGCGCGTGAACATCGTTCTCTTAGCGTGCTTGATTTTAACTTGAACGTTTCAAATTCGGTTAAAAAATCTTGCGCGCGAAGAAGGTGGCGTTCACGTGCGTGCACGAACCAGGCGCTCCTTCTCCCGCATACTTTAACTTTACTGCTGCTAGCGCGTTTGTTACATGAACTATTAATGTAAAACTTTCTGAAAATATAAGTTTTATCCTTTCTTTAATTGTTTCTAAAATCCCGATCCGATACGTCCAATAGTTAATTAACAGTTATATAAAAAAATAAAGCTATCTTGAGAACAAAGAGGCGTAGGTGATTTTTCTTTTTTTTTAAATTACCATAAAAATAAGCTCTATTTAACGCAAAAAGAACGAATTCCAGAGGGATCTTTGCTTAACCCTGTGGTCAATTTGATTATACCGCTGTTTTTCACATCCTACTTTGTTAGTTATAAAAGGCAACTTAATGACAATTTTTTGAAATTTTTCTTTTTCGATACGTTTCTTTTGATCAAATAGAACCTATATCTACGATATTAACTTCTTAAAATTAACGTTTAATTAAACAATTAATTGCAAAAAAAAACGAACGAAGTTAATTAACAAATACCTGGAGCAACAATTTCATTCACGGTCAATCGAATTGGCCCTAGGCACATATGTTGATCTTTGGATTGACCGCCTTTTCCATAAATTTTATCAACATCCATCTATTTTTGCAATAATAATGCTTANATCAAAATGAAGATTGTTTACTGTTCCATCATTATTTCATTATTATCATGATTAAAATATGAAATATAAAAAATCGGGTCATTGCGCGCGTTTAAAAACCATGTTTGATGCGGCCTTCGGAATCACCCCGTATACTTCATACTATTTTAAAAATGTCCCCCTTAAGGCGCCTAAAAATTATTCTCTATCTGTATGGAATAGGAATAATATTATCACTATTGGCCCGCCCTGTATGAATATTTCTAGTAATGGAAAAAAAACTTTAAATATGCAGGTATTGAATGTTGCGAACAATAATTAAAAAAGTAAATAGTTTTTATATAATATTTTATTTAAAACAAATAATTCAATATTCTTATTTAACTAACTACGAAATGTTAACATATCATTAATAAAATAATATATTTTAAAATATCAAATGCAACTGTTATCGGATTAATTATTATTCACCCTATTGAATACAACAGTTTTTGGTGCCACGGTGTATATTTCCAAACAACACTCCCAGTCCGAAACATACCTAATTATTTGAAGTGACGCGCAAGAGAATGAGAGCGATCCAACTAGTGGGGACTTTAAGTTGCCCTTCATTGTACAACACTTCTAAGAGATTGACAGTTTAATTTGATGTTTTTGGGTAAAGAATTGTTACCGTTAATTCACTATCCGATTAAAACATGATGTTTTAGCATTATTCTAGTTATTTTACTCCCCATATTTAAATGTCCGAAAGTACCCCAGGCATGTCTGCCACTGCCGCCACGTGGGGTACATTCGGACAAACGACAATTTATTTGTGTTTGTCCGAACCTGCCCCCCTCTACTCTACTGATGGCGCTATTTGCCTGATTATTTTCTGATATGAGCGTTTTTTTTGTCATATGGTGAATAAGGTCACACGTTGACTTTCTTTGAAACATCTAATTCGCTAAAATGCGCCCAAACTTCGCTTTTTTGTTTAGATACCGATAAAATAGTTATAATTAGTGTGCGGTGGAAAATTTAAACGTAGATAAGGTGGTGCGGTTACGTAGAAACAACAAAAAAGGATTTTAGTTGATTTTGGAAAATTGAAAGAAGGAGAAATATTAATTAAAAGTTGAGGTAAAAACGAAGAAGAGATAATTTAAATATTACAAAGGTCCATAAATAAACAGGGAAGATAAAGATCGAGAATATAAGAAATAAACAGGAATAGAAAAGGACCCAATACGAGATAAAAGACCATATACAAGACGTAATAGAGGATCAGACGGGAATTGGAAGATTTATCCTTGTGACAGAGCAGTAAAATCAGTTAGTTACGACAGTTGCAGTTTGAAATTTGAAAACGAGGCGTAACCATCAACGTTGAACAAGAGGAGCAGACCTATGTGAAAAACCGGAAAATAGTTGTGAGA